GGTTATGGCCACCCCGCGCCCCCCCGTTGATTCGCGCACCAAAGGTCATTCTTGCCCAGGGTCACTCTTACGTGTAGCCGATACTTGAACTTCACCCGCAGTGTCGGCGAGGTTCCTCTCCGCTTTGAGACTTCGGTGGGAGGGGGAAGTCGGAGAACAGCTGGCCTGGCAAAGGGCCAAGCCCTGTGCAGCTGCGTGTAGCGCAGGGCGCGGGACCTCTCCTCGGATACTGCGCGCAGCGGGAGGGAGACATATCGGGGCGGCGCAGATAGGGTGATGCGGAACGGGCGCGCAGAGGAGCGCTGAGCTCCCCATGAGGTGCTGCACGAAACGTGTGAGGGGTGTGGCGGAATCGGGGCGGGCCGCAGGTGGAGCTCCCCATGGGGGCACAAAATGTGTGAGGGATGTGCCGAGCTGGGCGCGTGGCGACGTGCGCAACAGCCCCACTGGGGCCGTGGGTTGGTGGAGCTCCCCATGGGGGCACGAAACTTGTGAGGGGTGTGCCGAAGTTAGCGCGGGGCGGCATGCGAACTGCGCCGATTCACATGCGGACGGAGTGCGGGGGCAGGGAGGGAAGGAGGAGGAAGAGGTGGGGGATGGGGGTGGAGGCGGGAAGCAGACACGTGGCGCTGCGGATTCAACAGTGAAGGAGGTTTGAGAAAAACAGGGGGGGGAGTGGGAAAGAGGATGAGGAGGAAGGAGCGGCGCTGCGGATTTCAAAAACAGGACCCGACAACACAGGAGGTTTTGAGGAACACACGCATCAGCTCACACTTTCGGAGGCCCGCGCGGAATTATCGGGTCCCCGTGCCCTTGCGCGCGAAGCGCGCCAGGGGCCAGCGTCTCCGGCGCCGCCCAGGGGGCCCAGCGCCGACCTAAGAAATCTTCGCGGCGGACTTCCGAAAATTGGTGCTCATGCCGCTCCCGGTTCCCCTCACCAGGAATCGACGAAGAGAGCACGCCACAAACAGAAAGCGTTGGCGCTCCGCGCGGATCTCTTGGATCCCTGGCGGCGCCTCCGGCGCCGCCCCTGGCGCGCGGAGCGCGCCAGGGAGTGGGAAGTCCAGCGATCCGCGCGGAGCGCCGCGAGTTTTACGTTCGTGGCCACTGTTCCTCTGGAAGCCGCGTGGCGTGGCAGGGCCAGGGCGAGAGGGCCTGCCTGCACACGTGCGCCCGCGCGCCCTGCTCCCGCGGGGCGCGCCAGGCCCCGCGCACGCGCGCCCGGCGCGCGGCCTCTCTCCGCGGGAGCGGCGGGAGGAGAGCGGGCCTCGTCCTCGCCGGCAGCGGCGCGCCGAGTTGCCCGCGCGAGGTCGCGCGCGAGCGGCCTCGCTGCCGCTGTGGCGTGCCGCGTCGGCGGCCCGCGCAAGCTGCGGCGTAAGGCCGCCACGCCCTCTCGCGAGGGGCCCCTCCTTCCGTCGTTCGCGTGCTCCTCGCACGATCCAGCCAGGCGTGCGCTCCAGCCTCCTGGCGCTGCCGCCGCACCCATCCTCCTCCTCCTCCTCCTCCTCGCCTCCTCCTCCTCCTCCTCCTCCTCCTCCTCCTCCTCCTCCTCCTCCTCCTCCTCCTCCTCCTCCTCCGAACAGCGCGCCGTGCAGGCCGCCCACGCGGACTTCGCGTACGACCTGCAGACGTTCAGGCCGTCGGGGGGGGGCCCTTGCGAGGAGGCAGCGACACCGAGCTCCCGCAGGGGAGAACCTGCACAAGCACAACCTGTCGGAGGCCCGCGCAGAGGTCGTGGCTGGGCGCCAGACCCTCGCCAGCGGCGCCTCTGGGCTGGCTTCCATCAGCTGCGCCTCGTCGAGCGCGCTCGGGGGGGGGGGGGCCGGAGTCGTCCCGAGCGGCAGCCAGAGGCCCGAGCTGCGGCCCAGCAACCCCACCCCGCGGACCCCCCCGCGCACGGCGCCGGCGGCCCCGCCCCAGGGCGCGCTCGCCGCGTGCCAGGGGAGGGGGCCACAGCGCCAAGCTGAAGTCTGGCTTGTCCCCCTACAGGAGGGAGATTCAAAGATAGTATGCTCTTTGACCCCCAAAAAAAGAACAGCTCGCCTCTTGGCCCGCCGCCAGCCCCACGCCAAGGGGCGAGCATACGTACGGGCGCAGCACCGCACTGGATGCGATGCATTTGGCTGGGCCAGGCAGGGAAAGACCCAATACTGCATCCAAGGTCGAACGTGAATCATATTTCAACGCTGTGGCTGCACGATGCGCCCCGAACCCCAGACCAACGAATTGAGCCTCAGCCCAATGCCGAACGTGATCCATATTCCAACGCTGTGGCTGCGTGATGCGCCCTGAACTCCAGACCAACGAATCCGCCGATCACTCCCGACCGCCCCTGCGTGGCACATGGTGCTGCTTGGTTACGTCTGGAAAGTATCCTCACCGCCCTGGCTTGAAACTGCCAGCGAAATATCCTCACACCCCTCACTTGAAACTGCCAGCGAAATATCCTCACACCCTGGCCTAAAACTGCCAGCGAAATATTATCACCCCCTGGCCGAACTCTGCCAGCGAGATATCCTCAACAACCTGACTTAACACTGCCAGCGAATTATCCTCACACACCTCATTTAAAACGGCCAGCGAATTATCTTCACCCCCTGGCTTAAGACTGTGAGCGAAATATCCTCACACCCCTCGCTTAAAACTGCCAGCGAAATATCCTCACCCCCTGGCCTAAAAATGCCAGCGAAACATCCTCACACCCCTCGCTTAAAAATGCGAGCGAAATATTATCACCTCCTGGCCTAACTCTGCCAGCGAGATATCCTCAACCCCCTGACTTACAACTGCCAGCAAAAGATCCTCACACCCATCACTTAAAACTGCCAATGAAATATCCTCACCCCCTGGCTTACAAATAAGAACGCACGGTTTCGCAACACGGATTCTCTAAAAAAGCTTACGCGCGCGCTCTGGCGATTTCTCGAGAAAACCATGGGCTTTTCAACATGTTCCAGAAAAAACTACCAAACTCGCTTCGCGCGCGCGCATGTCAAACTCGTTCGAACGCCCTTGCGCGCGTGCCGTCGCGAGAGTTCTCTGCAAAAAACGGGACGAAGTGCACGCGCGCGCGTCGTCGCGCGCGCGCATGCCGAAATCCATCAAAGACCTGCGGTTTCGGACAGATTTCGAAATCGAGTGTCCAAAAAACATACAAAAACACAAGGTTTCGCAACACGGATTTGCAACAAAAACGTGCGCACGCGCTCTTGCGTCGTCGTCGTCGTCGTCGTCGTCGTCGTCGTCGTCGTCGTCGTCTCCGTCCCTCCTCCCTCGGCGTCGTCGTCGTCGTCGCCGTCGTCGTCCTGTGTCTTTCCTCGTATTCGTCGTCGTCGTCCTCTTTGGCGTCGTCGTCGTTTCTGTCGTCGTTGTCGCCGTGGTCGTCCTTCCTCCTCCCTCGTCGTCGTCTGTCGTCGGCGTCTCGTCGTCGTCCCTCCTATTTCGTCGCCGTCGTCGTCGTCGTTGTCGTCGTCGTCTTCCCTCCTCCACCGTCGTTGTCGTCGTCGGCGTCGCCGTCCTCCCTCCTTCTTCGTCGTTCGCGTCGTCGCCGTCCTCCCTCCTCCCTCGTCGTTGTCGTCGTTGTCGCCGTCGTCGTCGTCCCTCCTCCCTCGTCGTCGTCGTCGTCTTCGTTGGCGACGTCGTCGTCGTCTTCGTCGTCGTCGGCGTCGTCGTCGTCGTCGCCGGCGTCGTCGTCGTCGTCGTCGGCGTTGTCATCGTCGTCGTCGGCGTCGGCGTCGGCGTCGTCGTCGTCGTTCTCGTCGGTGTCGTCGTCGCCGTCGTTGTCGTCGTCGAAGTCGCTGGAGACGCCGTCGGTGTCGTCGTAGTCGTCGGCGGCGTCATCGTCGTCGTTGTGGCTGCCGTCGTCGGCGTCGGTGTCGTTGCCAAGTGCCATTTGGTACCTACCGTCACGGTCTTCAGAGGTCGTGCGACCAAGTTGCGGGTGGGAGGGTGGGATGTTTGCACGAGCAGTGGAGAAAAGTTGTTCAAGCTGAGCAAGTGATTGATTCTCCTTTCTAAAAAGAGAATCGACTCTACCCCCCCCCGGCGTTATCGCCCCCCTTTCGGGTATGTAAATCACATACGATTATGACCACATGTCCATCCTAAATATGAAATCACAATGTCCCAGGCCAACCGGTATCCCCCCCCTGAGGTTCCCTTGTAAAAAACATTATGCGGTGACAGTTTTTGTTCTAACATAACACTTTTTCGCGAACCTTTTGCAAAAAAAATGACGAAGTGCACACGCGCGCGTCGTCGCGCGCGCATGCCGAAATCCTTCAGAAACCTTCGGTGCCGGAAGGATTTCGCAATCGAGCTTCCAAAAAGCATACAAAAACACAGGGTTTCGTAAAACTGATTTGCTAAAAAAGCTTACGCGCGAGCTCTTGCGAAATCTTAAGAAAACCATTGCTTTTTTAAGATTTTCACAACTTGCTACCAAACGGGCGTCGCGCGCGCGCATGTCGAAATCTGTCGAACGCCCTTGCGCGTGTGCCGTCGCGAGAATCCTCTGCAAATAATAGGACGAAGTGCAGACGCGCGCGTCGTCGCGCGCGTACGCCGAAATCCTTCAAAACCCATGGGTTTCGGAAGGACTTCAAAATCGCGCGTCCAAAAAACTTACAAAAACACAAGGTTTCGCAACACGGATTTGCAACAAAAACGTGCGCGCGCGCTCTTGCGGCGTCATCGTCGTCGTCGTCGCAGTCCTCCCTCTTCCTGCGTCGTCGTCGTCGTCGTCGCCTACGTCGTCCTGTGTCTTTCCTCGTGTTCGTCGTCGTCGTCCTCTTTGGCGTCGTGGTGTTTCCGTCGTCGTTGTCGCCGTGGTCGTCCTTCCTCCTCCTCCCTCGTCGTCGTCGTCGTCCGTCGTCGGCGTCTCGTCGTCGTCCCTCCTATTTCGTCGCCGTCGTCGTCGTCGTTGTCGTCGTCGTCTCGTCGTCGTCTTCCCTCCTCCCTCGTCGTTGTCGTCGTCGGCGTCGCCGTCCTTCCTCCTTCTTCGTCGATCGCGTCGTCGCCGTCCTCCCTCCTCCCTCGTCGTGTCGTCGTTGTCGTCGTTGTCGCCGTCGTCGTCCTCCCTCCTCCCTCGTCGTCGTCTTCGTTGGCGACGTCGTCGTCGTCTTCGTCGTCGTCGTCGGCGTCGGCGCCGTCGTCTTCGTCGTCGTTGACGTCGGCGTCGTCGTCGTCGCCGCCGTCGTCGTCGTCGTCGTCGTCGTCGTCGGCCGTCTTGCTTCTCCGGCCTTCTTGGGGCGCTCTTGAGACGCACCCGAGGGCTCCAAGACGACCCTGGAGCGATATTTGTGCTCGGTCCCGCATGGGTTTTGCAAACCAAGTTGCGGGTGGGTGGGTGGGATGATTGCGCGAGCAGTGGAGTTGACAACTTCAAGATCGGCAAGTGAATTCCACAACATAGACTGCACCATACAAATAGCACCACATAGATCGCACCACCTGTATTCACAAAGTAGAATGCATCACATAGATTGCGCCGCACACATTGCATTACAGAAACTGCTCCACCCAGATTGCACAACATAGATGGCACAACATAGAATGCACCACGTACATTGCTCCGCGTCGATTCTCCGTTCTAAAAACATTTAGGTTCTACCACCCTCCCCCCCCCCGGGGTTCAAGATTGATTTTTTCGTATTGCAGTTTACATACGATTTTGCCCCATCGTCCATCCTAAATATGAATGTACACCTTCCCAGGGGGGCTGGCATCGCCCCTCCAGGCCATCCTTTGCAAAAAACATTATGCGCGCGCACTATTTTAGCAAAAATCATAAATGTTCAACAACCCCGTGCAAAATATGGGACGAAGTGCACACGGGCGCGTCGTCGCGCGCGCATGCCGAAATCCTTCACAAACCTTCGGTGTTGGAAGGATTTCAAAATCTAGTGACCGAAAAACCTGCATAAACACAGGTGTTCGCAATGTTTTCAACAAAAGCGTGCGCGCGCACTCTTGCGAATGCTCAAGAAATCCAGAAGTTGTTCAACATGTTCATAAAATGCTACCAAACGGGCTTCGCGCGCGCATGTCGAAGTCGTTCGGACGCCTTTGCGCGCGTGCTAACGGGGGGCACAGTCCGTGTCAAATAATACCATGCGAGCCACTCTCGCGCGTCGGCCGCGCGCGCATGTCGAACTTTTTTCCAAAACCTTCATCACCGACGCGAGAACGCCGTCATCGTCGTCGGCCTGATCGGCATCGGCGCCGTCATCGCCACTCTCATCATAATCGTCATCGTGTCTGCAAGTGTCGTCAGCAGCATCGCCACTATCATCGCCATTGTGTCTCCAATTGTCGACGTTGCCATGATACCGCACCCGCCCAAGCCGCCGACTCGCACGCAAGTGCCCGCTGGGATGCGCCGAGCGGTCAGCACCACCGCCGCCTCGTCGGTCGCGCCAGACTACCTGGCCGGTGCGCGCGCGCGCGCGCATGCGCGGCTTGGCGCGGCCGCAGAGATGCACCAGCCAGCGCTAAGCACTCATCGCAATCGCCGCCGTATGAGGTTTGCAAACCAAGTTGCGGGTGGGTGGGTGGGATGTTTGCGCGAGCAGTGGAGTGGACAACGCATTGCGAACAGAAATTAATCCTCCTTTCTAAAAGAAGAATAGATTTTAC